CTATTCCTGTAAAGATGAACCTATAATTAAAAGTGAACAACTGTTCTGAGAACTCCGGCACGGGGCCCTCATATTACTGCTTTTGCACTTTCTTGGCAGAAAGTAACATGCAGATGGAAGAAAGGCATTCTTCGTTTGTCCACAAACCATTGTTGTAGTATTTTGTGCTAATAAACTACTGGTGATAGTCTGTGCTAGCTTGTCCAGGTCATGGGCTGTCCAGATATCTGGATAAATGTTATTTCAGGTGTGTGTGCCTGTGAGGGTGTTTATGAAGAGATTAGCATTTGAATTGGTGGACTAGGTAAAAACAGATGACCCTTCCTAATGTGGGTGGGCATTAATCTTTTCGGTGAAGGCCTAAACATGCCTGAGAAAGCTTGAATTTTCTCTCTGCTTGACTCCTTGAACTGGGACATTGATATTCAGCTGCCCACAGCACTCTTGGTTCTCAGGCATTCAGACTTGGATAAAATCTAAACCATTAGCTCTCTGGTTCTCAGGCCTTTGAACTACACCATTGGCTTCTTGGGTCTCCCAATTGCAGATGGCAGATCATGGGGCTTAGCCTCCATAATCACGAGACAATTCCTTAGTATGTGTGTATTTTTTATATATATAAAAAATGTTTTACAAAAGTTTAACACACAAACACACATAATTGGTCCTGCCTTTCTGGAGAACTCTAACACAGACCCATATGGCCTGGCTCCTGGAAGCCTACATTACCTCTGTGGGCATGGCAGCCATGAGGTGCCTGATCAGACTGCGGAGTGGCTGCAGTGCATGGGAGGAGGGTATAATTATGCCCAAGAGCAGCAATGGGAGCTAGTATGCAGGATGGAACTTGGCAGAAATGGTTCTGCTGCTGAGCTGACATGGCAGCAATGGCAGAGCCCAGAAAAATGAGTAGTGATGGCCAGCAAAGGGGCATGCAGCCATCGGGGGCAGCAGGACCCAGTGGAAACAAGAGGGGTTCAGAGAAAAAGAGAGAAGAAAGAACAAAGGCATGTGGTAGCTAACCAGGCAGCTGGCTGGACATGCAAGGATCTGAGAAACTTAACAACTCTTAACACTGTTGAGGACTGTTCCCTTGTCAACAACTCACGAGCAGGCAGAGAAAGAGCCAAAGGCTTAGGGTGCAGTGCTCCGAGTTCAATTCCCATAAAATAATAATAGCTGACATTTATTGGGCACAGGCATCCTGTTTGCAGGCTCTGTTTTGGTGCTGTTATAATTCTATCTTACAACTCAAAAAATTGAGGCATGGTTATTAGTAGAGTAGAGGAAAGGGGATGGGGGAGGGAGAAGAAGAGGGAAAGGCTAAGTACTGAGGACTGAATTAGAGCAAATTATATTCCATGCTTGTATAATTATGTCAAAATGAACTCTTAATATTGTGTAACTAAAATGAACTAATAAAAAATAAATTGAGATATGGAGCTGTCCTGACTCCAAGTTTCCTGGTTATTTTCACTTGGAAAAGTTGCATCAAATTCCAGGCCCCAAATGGAGTATCAACTTCTTCCCTCACCTCAACTCCCACCCGTTTTCCTGGGCTCCTTATTTTAGGGCATGGTACCATCCATCCAACTCCTTGAGCAAGAAACAAAATCCTACATTCTTCCTTCTCATTTGCCTCCCCTATCAATCATCATTAGATGCCTGCTGTGGTCTGAATGTTTTGTGTTGCCCCAAAATCCATATTTTGAAATTCTAACCCCCAAGTAATGTATGGGGGTGGGGCTTTGGAGGTGATTGGGCAATGGAGTGGAGCCCTCATGAACCAGACTAGTGCCTTTATTAAAGAGGCCCAAGCAAGGTCCCTTGCCCCTTCTGCCATCTGAGGACATAGCAAAAAGACAACCATCTACAAAGCAAGTCATCAGGATACCAAAGTTGCCACTTTGATCTTGGACTTCCCCATCTTCTACAACTGTAGAAATACATTTCTGTTGCTCATGAGCTACTTAATTTATGATATCTTGTTATAGCATCCTGTATGGACTAAGACAATGCTATTATTATTGTTTTTTTCTTGTAGTGGGGATTGAACTCAGAGGCACTTGACCACTGAGCCACATTCCCAGCCTTATTTTGTATTTTATTTAGAGACAGGGTCTCACTGAGTTGCTTAGTGCCTTGCTTTTGCTGAGGCTGGCTTTGAACTCGTGATCCTTCTGCTTCAGCCTCCTGAGCTGCTGGAATTAAAGGCATGCACCACCATGCCTGGCTTATTAGTTTTATCTCTACTATTGCCATAAGTTTTCTACTTTACAGTTTTCACTGTCTTGGCCTCTTATCAGGCCACCATTTTCCACAGGGAGCAAGTTTCCCTTTAATCTATTCTCCACGAAGCAACCAACTGCAACGTTTGAAATGCAAACATCCTTTACTTAAAACTTTCATGGCATCTCACTACCTTTTGGATGAAGTCTAATCTAACAGCCTACAGCTTTGCAATCCAATCATCAATTTCCCCTTTATTTTCTGGCGTAACGGGATTGATTATAGGTTCTCAAATAAACAACACTGCTTCTTAACTCCTGGCTTTAGTTCATGTCACTGTGTCTGCCTAGCGTAGGTTCTCTTGCAGCCCTCCCTACTTGCATAGCCCCCATACTATCACCATGGGAGTTAGAATTCCAAAATATGAATTTTAGAACAACACTAACACTCAGATCATAGCAAGTATCTAATGATTCAGATAATGTCTGTGGGAAGCCCCCCGAAATCTGCCTTCTGATCTCTTGTAGACTCAGTTTTCTATGTGCATCAGTTCTGGAAAATTCTATTTGTGAGTAGTCATCCCACAATTCTCCCTATTCCCTCTAGTATCCCTGTGGATTTATATTATACTGCTCTATCAACTGCCAATTTCTTTGCATTTTAATCTCTGTGATGCATTCTCTGTAATTTTTTTCAGACTTCTTACATATAATGCAATCATTTTTTCAGCAGTGTCCAATTTAATCTTTCTGCCCATATTTTAAGTTCTCTGGGTATTAAAGTTAACTACCAAGATAACTTCTTACTCTTCTTTTCAGTGTTCCCTTCCTTCCTTATAATTTCTAGTCTAAATAAACTCAAGTCTTTTGAACTCATTTACAGTGTACATATTGGTTTTCTTTGTCACTGTTACCCCAGATTCTTGGAGGTGCCAAGTTTTTTATTTACTATTTCTTTCACATTTTTCTTGTTCGGGGTATGATTTTTAGAGCTCATTTCAGTTAGGACTAGATGTTCTGGGTTGTCTGATGTGCTTTTGTTGTGGAATTATTGCTAAAGAGTGCTTTTGTTTTGCCGCCTCCTAGAATTTACCAGACCAGAACTAATTTAGTTTTGGCTTGGAAAATTCCACACCATGCAGGTCATTTGGATGCTACAATGGCATAAAGCATGAGGCTGGGTCTTTAATTTCTTATAGAGAATTTTATTCCCTATCCAGAACCCCAAGGAGAGACGATTGTTATGTTTTCTCTTGTCATCAGGGTGTAAGGTTCTGTTAGCCCACTTCCACTGAAGGAGCAACTTGCCAGGGTCCTAACTTTATCTGAGCATCTTAGCTCAAACCTAATGGGTTTTCCAGGCCCAAAACCACATCCCTCAAGCTCCAGCTGAACATATCCTCCAACCACAGTATCAGGGCTTATATAGTTTAGTTTTTGCTATCCTTACCCCTAGCAAGCTCCCTAATCAATCTTTAAATTCTAATTTCTTTCATACTCATCTATGTATTTAAATCTTTTATCCAGCATTTCTTTATGTTTATAGAGGAAAGGGATCCATTAACTTAGTATGTTACTTTTTGAAATCTCTTTATAAAGACTCTCTTTTACAATGCTAACAACGATGTAAGATTATGATGATACTGAAAACCACCTCTAGTAAGTTGCAGAGCCAAGACTCAAACCCAGTTTCACTAGGTTAATGGTATTTGGGGGAAAAAAAAAAGATTTAAAAAATTGCCAGTAACTAATAACAACAAAGAGTTCCAGCTTAACTATACTTTTGCCAGCATTTGGTTATTGAAGGTGAAAACATCAAATATATTGTTTTTAATATGTACTTTTCATTACCAGCAAGAGTAAATATTTAACAAATGCCATTTCTACTTTCTCCATTTTCCCTTCCATTTGTTGACGCCACAGGAGGCAGATCACCTAAGACAAAGCACAGATGACAGATAAATGAAGTTCTATTGCAGATCAGAGCTTATTTGGAAAACGAAAAGCTACTTATTACCTGAGATCAATGAAGAAAATAGCAAACTACTAAAATATTTCTTTATTTGAATAAGGTCAGTGTCATTTTTTAAATTCCAGCTAGCATAAAATAACAATCAGGAAAAAAAAAAAAAACTTGACAAAATGTTATCCAATTGAAACTGACAATGGATAGAAAATCCTTTTAAATTTTTTTAAATTTTTAAGTAATATCATAAAAGAAATATATTAAACAGGCAACATACAGATCTAAAAAGTTGCAAGAGCTGATTTTACACTAGATCTTATAAATAAAAAAATCCCCAATATAATAATTTGTTTACTATCTCCCTTTGACAAATACATGGACAGGGAAAGATAATCACATCTTAATATTCACAACTGCTTTATGTTCTTTACAAAGACCACATCTCTGCAAAGTGGCAGGGCAGGCAATCCCTTATTCAAGTAATTTCTGTTTTCCCCACGTTATCAAAAAGTACAGTTGTCTGAGATGAAACATCAGCACAATCACAACAAGAAAGCAAGGGCTTTAGCTGGCAGGCTTCAAGATGGAAGTTTCCATGGCTTGACCAGGATCTGAACATAAGCTGCCACCAAAGTACCAAGAGCTACAAGTAATAACCTGGATTTAGTTTGTAGTCACTAATGAACCAAGAATTTTAGTAAAAGAAACATTAAGTAAATTTTACATATAAAAGAATCAGTGCACATTTGCTAATAATTTCATTGATAATAAAAAATATTATGCTCTCAACTCAGCATTAAGCCAACAAAAGACCTATTTTTCACTCTCCATTTTAGTGGTTCTCAACCATTAGTGTGCTCAGAATCATCTGAGATGCTTGTTGAACACTGATACTCTGAAGCCCTCCCACCCCTGAGTTTTAATACAGGTGACTTGGAATGGGGCCCTGAAATCTGTATTTTAAACAAGCACTCCATGACCCAGACTGGTCCATGGACTATACTTTAAGAACACTAATATGCCTTTAACACATAACAGAACATTGGTTATTGTGACTTCATGGTAAAGTTTCAAGCTGAATAAAACATTCAAACAATTGGAATACAAATAAGTATATTAATTAAGGGCATCAGCCATTATGTAATTGCATTTTCTTTTTAAAAGTAGCATCATAAACACAACAACTTACATTAAAAATTTTAAATAAATTTTGTTTTAATCCAAGGCACCTGTAAAATACTTGCTGGTGTGAGAGAAGTGACTAAATTCAATTATACATAATAGTACAAAAATGAAAAAATTCTGGCAGTGATTGATTTTTCCACAGACTGAAACACTTTGTTAAAAAATGAGCTACTTGATGATTTTGAGGAAAACAAATTTCAAATAATAAGATAAATGTCCTACATGAACTATTTTACTGATTTTCAAGCAAATTAAATTAATAAGAAAAAAATTCGTACTCATTCTTTTTCATAACAACCATCTCCACTAGTATTAGGAACAATCAGAAGAATTCCCCTTGAATTCTAACCTGAAAAGTATATACTGCATAGATCCTATATTTCTTTAATGTTCAGGCACATGTAACCATGAGCTTTAAAAAATACTGGACTTGGCAGCCTTTATCTCAAGAGGATTTCCCAGGTTCCAGTCTACAACATATTCTTCTGAGGGTAATTTTTTTTTTCATGGAATATGAGTAAATTCTGTGATGATGATGTCTCCGCAACATGAATTTCAAAATGTTAACACAAAGGAGAAATGTGAGAGGAACTTTTTCAACGTTGAAGTGACCAAAGTAGAGTGAGTCGTCATTAGTTATTCTCTTTCTGTGTTCTAGGATAAACACTTACACAAGAAGCAATCCAAGACTGTTCGCACACACAGTGCTAGTTAGGTACTGCTATACTGCACAGTTCTTCACGAAGTCTTTATAGAAATTTTAAATTCATTAACCCAATCTGTAAATGACATTTGAGAGGAATCTTGGGAGGCTTGGAAGAATTCAATAGTACTATTTTATAAAACAGTATTACTCTCGATCCTATGGCAAAGGAAAGAGAATCAAATCACTTTAGGTAAAAGAGTATTTTGAAGCAAGCAAAAGTAAGTCTACACCAGGTGTGAAAACAAAAACTAAATCTGTATTTATAAAATGTCATTTACAGATGGTTTCTCTAACACCCAGAACTATGTACAAAGACTATAAAATCTCCTTCCAGTCTAACATTTCATGGTTAAGTTTACTAACAAGTGCTTTACAACATCCTTAGTTCTGGCATTAAAAGGAAGAAATCAGAAGTATTTTGCTCTATTTTTCAATTTTTGCCCTCAAAAATCTTAAAACTGCTTCTAAATCAAGCCTCCTTAATGTAAGAGTATACAAGGAGTAACAAATCCTGGGTTACACAGAGTAATGTAAACCACAGTGTAGTGGTAGGTTTTGTGAACTCAAAATATTCTTAAAACATGCAATCTGAGCTGAATTACGTTGGACAAAATAAGAGAAATAAATTCCTTAAATTAAAAATATAAGTACAAAAATTATTTTTTATAATATTGAATGAAGACACTCAAGAATATGGGCCATTCTGAAATGAATACATCACCAGGCAAAAATAACCATTAAAAACTATTATCAGAGGAATGTTTTCTTCTAAGTGACTTTTTAGGCAAAATGCAGCTCTTAATTTTTCCCTAAAATTTCCTTTAACGGTGAGATGTAGCATTGATAATCAGAGGGAAAAACATTTCATTAAACATCTGAAGCTTATTAACCACATCATAAAGCTCTGAGACAAAACATTCTTTGATTCCAGAGGGAGCTATATTAAGATTAAAGAACTGCAAAGCCAGGTCTTAGTTTAGGAAATTCCAACCTTTAAGACTTTGGTGACAAAATATGATGGAGAGCTGTTACTTAGACCCATATTCTGGGAGGCAAGAGGACAAGTGTGTTTATGTTAAATAAATAAGCCTCTCCATATTAGAGACTTAGTGGGTTACACTCATATCCATTTTCTATTATTTCTATTTTTTATTTTTTAGTATTTATCCTCTTGTCAATATTTTATTCAGTGGCTACATTCTACTAACCAGTTCACTGAAATTTAAACAGATTTATGTACTATGAATAAATTTACATGTGGTTATCTTTAAGGTTTATTCTTACCGAAAAAAAAATCAATGTTTAAACAATGTTTTATTTTATATAAAATTTAATAATTTAGACTATGAAGTAATTTAAATACTTATAAGTCCCTCAAAAAGACATTTTGTACATACATACATGATGTACACACATGAAAATGGTGGTCAAAAGAATTTTTTGGCAGCTGCTTCTTGCTGAGTCCTACAAAAAAAAAAAAAGAAAAAAGAGAAAAAACTGAAAGAAGTTCTTCACATTAAACTTTGGAAAGAAACAGGATTGCTTAAAATATCGATGCCTTTGAAATATAAAATACATTAAGATAAGCATATATTCTATGTATGTACTCCAAATGTGAACTGAAATAGACTAGAGATAATATTTGCTTTGTATCTGAAAGTTGCACTATGGGTATATATAACTTCATATAGTATTTCAAATTAAACACAGAAAATAATTATGTCAAATTCCACGAAGACTCACCTATACATGATGTAACCAATGAACAGCAGTGTCTGTACAATTACAAATACGATGAAGTGAACCGTCGATAAACATGATGGAAATGGTGGTAGTTCTGGGCATTTTGATCTTTCATTGGATGGCTATAATTATAATTAGTCAAATTAGTAGCTTGGAAAAAGACATACATGAAACTTTATAAAACTCATGGTTTATTATACAAACAAGTATTTTGATTAATTCTTCCCTAGAAATATCTTCTATCACTTCAACTTTTCTTTTTTTTTTTTTATTTTAAAATTGAAAAAAATTTTAAGAGTAGTTGACATGAGATGGTTTCTACCTTATCACACTGCCTTCTGGCTCTCGTCTTCACTAAGAATGATGATAATTTTGAAAGTTTTAGAGATGAGAAGTAATACAAACCACATTCCCCTGAACACTTTCAGTGCACACTTGTTGCACTAGGGTGTTTACCAATAGCCCATCCTTCACTTTCAAAAGTGTTTCAGTTCAGAAAATAAATGGCACAGTTATCCTGCCAATAAACTACAAACATAATAGCTCTTACTTACCATCATTCTCTCCAATCTCACAGCATTCAATATTACTCACTACTGTTCTAAAAAACATTTCTCTTCCTATTTCCATATGTATTGTTCTTGATATAGTTACATCTACCCAGCACAGTTCTTCAGGACATATACATTACCCAAACCATCCTTGGCCTTAGCCATGGATCAGAGAAGATACTAAAATGGTAATCAGAGAATATTTTCATTGAATGATAATGTAAATCCTACATATAAAACTTAACAAAGAAATCAAAATATATAGAAATTTGAAAGACATGGACCAATTCTACCCTGAATAATAAAAATGAACTCCAGCTAGCTGGGCATGATGGGATGATCACAGGTTGGAGGCCGGTCTAAGCAACTTAGTGAGACCTGTCTCAAAATAAAATTAATTAAAAGGGTTGGGAATTTAACTCAGTGGTATAGCCCCAATATCCCCCCTCCCAAAAAAAGGTATTAACACTAACTAATGTTAAAATATTTTCAGCAGAATAAAAGTAGACCATGCATTCTTCCTTTTCTAAGGAAGTCTATAACAGTTACAGAAAAAGAAACAAAGTTACCACATTTCGCTGTACTAAGTTGTCTATGTCCCTCTTCACTATGTGCAGGTGCTCCTTGATGTCCATGAAGTGCTGTGTGGTCTCATAGACTCCTCCTGCAGAACTGGGGTGCTGTATCCCACTGACCAGTCTGACAGTTTCACTCATGGAATTCCTGAAACAGAAAATCTCTTTATATAATGAAATCACTATAAAGATGATTGACTTTTTCAGTCACAGATTTCAAATGGTTATACTTTTTGAAGCTTAATAATCAGATCACATACACATATACACACACAAAAAAAGGGTAAAGAAAGTATTTAAACTCGGAATTGTCTTCAAAACTAGAAAATGATTTATAAAACTACAGCTTAATACTACGGCTTTATTCTTCACTAAAGGCCACCTAAAAATAATACATAGAGAGTACTACCAAATAGTCTATATTAAAACCAGCAACATGGGCTGGGGTTGTAGCTCCATGGTGGAATGCTGCCTAGCACTGAGTTTGATCTTCAGCACCACATAAAAATAAATAAATAAAATAAAGGTTAAATTCTGAATAATATAATGTATATTAATTACTCTTAATAAATTGTAAGAAATCTTTCCAGTGTTTTCATTGTTTTACAGCAAAGGATTAAGTAGACTTGAACTCTGCAAATCCTATGCATTCTAAAGTTTTTCAGGACTGCCCTTGATCAGGTCATCACTGTAAGCACCTGAAATATGCTGCCCAATAAAGAGTTATTTTTCTGGGGTGTTGGGCCTGGCCAGTTTATGCAAACTCTGATTTATGAGAATTCTGTTTTTGTTTGCCTACAGTCATAAAGAAAGTGATGACAGAGTGTTTTCGGTCAGCTACTCCATTTATAATGACTGATCTCTAATAAAACATCCTAGATGTCAAGGCTTGGGTAAGCTTTCCTAGATGGCAGCACTTGGCACATATTGTTTGTCACACATTGCCGTTGGGAGAATTAAGTATAGAAGATCCTTGACTTTCGAAATTTACAGTCTAACAAACCCCTTATAAAACGAAAAATATAAGTTAAAAGTGCATTTAGTACAACTAAGCAACAGCACATCATTGCTTAGCAACCCAGCACACTATAGAGTACTGGTTATTTACCCTCATGACTACATGGGCTGATAGGGTCTGTGGTTAGATGCTGCTGTCTAGTATTGCAACTAAGTATTACCCCACACATTGTTAGCCTGGAAAAAGATCAAACTTGAAAATTTGAAGTGCAATTTCTATTGTATGTGTATCACTTTTGTATAATGGTAAAACTGAAAAATTTAAATTGGGGACCATCTGTACCATCTGTGAGAACACTAGCAGAGGACAACCAGAAGCTGGAGCCTCTTTCTCCTGGACTCAACTCTCTGCACCTTTTTTCTTTGCTATTTTGCTTAATACCTTTTTGTTGTATTAAACTATAACCATAAGTATAGCAGTGTTTCTGAGTTCTGCGAATACTTCTGGTAAATCTTAGAATCCTAGGGGACTCTGTAACCCCAAACACAAATCCAACTAGTGTTTTCTCCTTGCAGTTCTACCAGATGGCCCCTATACAAACTAGTGCTTCAACCAGAAGCCAACCAAAGAAGAATCTATTTGTTCCAAATATAAAGGAAAAACTGGTTGGTATGCTGAGATGGTGTGATATTCTCCAACATGATATTATTTTGAAGGGTAATTCTGACTTCATGCAACATTTTGTCTTAACATACTGACTTCAGAATATAATTTAATGCAAGATGTGATTCCACTATTCATATGTAAAATAAGGAATTCTACCAGTGAGTATGCCCTTTCAATATGAATCTGTAAGCATGATAGTAAGAAATTACATTTTTCTTTAAAAATTACAGAAATATAACAGGCTTTTTATTAATAAGGAAATAAATTTACCTGAAAATATCATTATTTTACCTACTAAGCACTTAAAAAGGTATATATTAACACTTATATTACAAATTATCTTCAAGTCTGGAAATTTCTTTTGTGAGGAAAATAAAATACAACTGGCAACTGTTGAAGCTGACTGTGGATACACAGATATTCATTGTACTATTCTATTTCTGTGGATGTTTGAAAATGGCCACAAAATCTAAAACTCAAGTGTCTCTATAATGTTTGCTATTTATTGCTCAGAGTTTATCTCTCACTATTCCTTTTTACCTGTCTTGGCTCTAGCCATTCCTTGAAAAAATATCCTTTCCCTTTAAGCCTCTGGATGTTCTTTCTGGTAAAATCCCTCCACTATAGGTTACCTTTCCTCTACATTCTCCCCTGGATCCTTCCCTAACAAACACAGTCAATCGTCCCACATGGAGACTTTCCTACTTTGGATCTGCACAGATGGATCAGCATAAGCCCCCTGAGAATGAGTTTTATGTCTCTGATTTCCTACCAGTGCCTGCAACTATGGTTCAATTTGGATGAATAAATATAAAGTTATCCCACTCAATTCCTAGAATAAAATTTAATTTAAAAAGAAGAGCTCTTCTAGAAGAAAGCAAAAAGAAGAGACTCAAATCTCAGAATTAATTAGAAATAGCATAGTTATGTCAGACTAAATGTTAAGTTTTAAAAAACTGTATTTGACTTAAAGAAGCAATGAAGACTTTAAAACTAGCTATAAAATATCTAAAGTGCTTTCTGAATCAATGTCCTATATTGATTAAAATTTATTTCCATGGCACAAGTGCTCAAGAAAATTCATGAGGCTAAGCTTTTCCATTAAAACACCAATTAAGGATTATATTTTAATACACTTGAAATACTTACCAAGACTAAAACCTCCCATGTAATATAAATTTCTTACATAACTCCATTTAAGAATATTGCTTCCCAGAAGTACGAACTTGCTTACATAGAAATGTCTTTTTAATATACAAAAATTGAGTCTCTTAATGTTCTCTCGTTCAATCATTCATTTGTTTGCCTATGATTCTGCTAACATTTATTTGGTACATGTTATGAGCCAGGCAATTTTTAGGGAAATAAACTGTGTGAGAAAAATGTAATTCCTGCCCTGCTGAGCCAACAGTCTTGCAGGAGAGCAATGTCTTAGAAAAAAATAGAGCTCTGCAAATAAAGATGTGTTGAACTTTCCTAGGCACCTAGAGCAGAGTATTAAAGAATAAGGAGGGGTCTATGAGGCAAAATTGTCGTGAAAGGGGGCATACTTCGTTTAGGGAATAGATCAAGTGAAAAGAGGATAGAAACCCAGAGAAAACATCTTTTAAGAGATGTTGGAAAGAAGAACAATATGTGAAGAAAACTAAGTGGAAGCAGAGAGGCCAAAGAGTGAGCAGTATGCTAGAAATCTTGAAAGGAAAAAGTTTTGAGATGAAGAAGTGGGAAAAGGTTCAATGCTACAGAAAGGAGGCTGAACTACATGCTTTCTAAGACCTCTACAGAAAAAAAAAATTATGACTTTATGGGAACATGAAAATCCTTTATAAAGACACAAATCTTCCTTTCCATTAAAAACAAATATTTCCTATCTCTTCACATTTTTCCTAAACCTTAATTCCAAAGAAAAAGCTCTATAGGACCAATTCAAAATTTGAGCTCAGTTTTGGTTAATTTATTGCATGCATGACATTTGTTCTCCACTAGTAAGTGGGAGTTTGTAAGGACTATCAAATATCCTAAGAAATTGCTAACCACTACTTAAACTTTAAGGTGCTCTAATACTACTGCTAAGTGAAACAAACAAAGCACAAGGGTTTCTAGAGTATGAAGACTTAAGAAAATACATATGTGCAAAAGAAAAACAGGAAGAACAAACCAGAAACTAATATAATTGCTTATCAACAGAGATACTGGGAAAAGGTTTGAAAGAAAGGGAGAAAGGACTGAGGAGAGATAGCAGGGAAGAAAGAGAAAGTAATATTTCCTTGGAAAGATATATCCCTGGGGGGGAGGGGGTCTGAATAAGTCATTAATTTAATTGATTGTATTTTATCCATGTTAATTTCCTGGTTATGACAATTATACTGTGGTAATATAAGATGTCAACATTAGGGGAAGATGGGTAAAAGATTTTTATGGAAATTTTCTGTACTATTTTTGCAGCATTTGAAGTCTAAAACAGATGAAAATAAAAAAAATCAAATGTTATGTTACATGATTAAGTTCATTTTCAAAAGAACTCTATTCATTTAGCTAAACTATCTGAATAGCTCAACTATTCAGTTGGCAGTCATGAGTTCACGATATTAAAAAATTTTTAAGTACCAAAAAACAGAATTAAAGAAATACAAATTTTCAGTTATAAGTTGAGTGGTTTTCATCTTTAGATGTCAGGAACATCACCTTCTCTTTAATCCAGTTTAATTTCCTAATCCTAAATAATATACCTTGACATTCTTGTTTGTCAAGGATTATACTGGTCAGGATAGTGCTCTAAAGCATTAGCTTATGGAAACATGAAACTCTGGCTTGTTTTCTCTGCTTAAGGAATTGAGAAATGTTAATCGTCTGCATAAGTAAATCATTCTCATCAGAAACTTATCATTCAACACTCTGATTTTTGTCTAGTCTCTCTTAGGGTACAAGATAAGAATGAAAAAAGAGGCTGTTACACATTATTTCCTTTAAAATGTTTTCATGCCATAAAAAAAAAGAATACCTGCATCCAAGTAATTTATATTATAGTCCTACAATGCTAAACATGCTCATTCCCTAGTATTTCTCATAGAATTGCTATATGTCACATTCCATATTCTTTTTTCTACATACAAGCACACACCTGACTCTGTCAAGTTAGCTTTTCTAAAGACATTAAAGATTTTTTTCCAGGTTAAAACTATTAAAAATTTAGATGTTTATAGTTTCTAAATATCAAAAATTCTTTTTTTTAATTATTTAAAACTGATATAATTTCATATTGCTAAATTTCTGGGTTTTTTCCATATTTTATTGTGTATTGTCATTGTGTAATGCACATAATTACATAATGATACATAATGGTGAGATTTGTGGTTATATATTCATACATGCACACAATACAACAATATAATTTGGCCAATATCATTTCGAAGTACTTCCCCTTTCCTTCCTGTCCTCCCTCCCTTTGGTCCCTTTCCTCTATGTTACTGATTTTCCATTGATTTTATTGAGATTCCCCCACTTTTCTTTTTCTTTTTCCTCTCTAGCTTCCAAAATTTTTACTAATTTATATCACAGCATTTCTTGGATAGAGGTGAAATAATTTTGATGATGTGAAAACAAACATATATTAGGTGTTAAAAACAACAATAAACAAACAAAGCAAAAGTAAGAAAAAAAAGTCTATGAACATAATGCTTAAACATGCATTCTATTATGAATTTGAGTCTTCTTTTTCATGAAAAGAAAAGAAATTCTTTTACTTCTTTTCTTTTTTTCACATCTTCATAGATGTATTTTGTATAACGATGAGGGTCTCCTTCTACCATCCATGCAATTCTCCTTCTCCCTCCCTTTCCCTCTCACCCCTCTTCCCTATCTAGAGGTAATCTTCCCATGCTCTTCCTCCCTACCCCATTTTGAGTCACCCCCCTTATATCAGAGAAGACATTCAGCATTTTTTTTTTTTTGGGACTGGCTAAGTTCACTTAGCATAATCTGCTCTAATGCTATCCATTTCCCTGCAAATGCCATGATCTTATTATTTTTTATTGCTGAGTAATAGTCCATGTGTATAAATGCCACATTTTTTTTTCATCCATTCATCCATTGAAGGGCATCTAGGTTGGCTCCACAGTTTAGCTATTGTGAATTGTGCTGCTATAAACATTGATGTGGTTGTGTCCTTGTAGTATGCTGTTTTTAGGTCCTTTGGGTATAGTCTGAGAAGAGGAATAGCTGGGTCAAATGGTGGTTCCATTCCCAGCTTTCTAAGGAATCTCTATACTGTTTTCCAAATTGGCTGCACCATTAAAAATTCTTATGTTTATAGTCCCCTATTTATAAAATGAATCAAGAATGTGATTGATTCCTCATAATAACACAGTGCATGTATGCATAACCTTCACTAGGATAAAGATACCACTTAACACTGAAACACGACTTTGATGCACTTACTTCATTTCATTTACTTGTCTCAGAATCTCATGCTGAGTTTTCACAACAGTATCCAATTCTTGTTGAGTGATCTGGAAGAAAAAAAGATGGTCAGCTAGCTCAATAATCCTCATTTTATAGCCTTTCTTTTCTACTCTAATACAAGAGAGTCAAAATAAGTCATATTTGCATGTTCCGAAAGCTCACCTGCCCATGCTGCCCTGGGATCCCTGCTCCTCTCTTAGATATTTCTTCTGTCAGGGAAGAGACATATCTTCTCTGTTCATCAAGAATCATATCTAATTGTCGGTTCAGCTGCTTAATTTCAAGATGAATACGATTCTGTCCTTCAAAGATTTGTCTTAGCTCACGATCTCCTACACTCTCAAATATTTCATCCGCTGCAAAGTAATTATGAATTAAAATTAGAATCACCTACATATACTTATATATAGGTGATTACTAAAATACTGTAACCAAACAAAGGGTAAACAGACACCAAAATTAAAACATTTCCAACATAGTAGTATAATCTTCCAAAGAGAAAATGTGTAAATATTTAATTATGACTCTTATTATTTGTTTTTTGCCATTTCTAGTGGCTGAACATTTATAAATTCCATTTAAATTTGTCATTTAAAAGTAATTTTTTCTTTCAAATATATTGTATAATTCTGTCTGTTTGAATAGGCAGAACTAATGTAGGGTGACAGAAATCAAAATGGTGATGGGCTCTGTGGAGAGGGATTTTGATGTGAAGGAGGTACCAGGGAGCTTTCTAAAGTGAAAAAAATATACTGGGTGATAGTTAAGTAGGTGGAAACATTTTTCAAAATTCACCAACTACACTTTTCACATACTTAAAAGAAAGACATTTATGCTTCATTTTTATCTTCTTCAAGTCTGGATGACACTGGTGATCATTACACTACACAGTGTTAAATGTTTGCCACAGGCTTTAAGTACAGCAGTGATTGTTTATGTGCACAGGGAAAACCAGGTAATAAAAACCAGTCTTAACATTTTTGACATTATTAATTTAATAAGCAAGATCTGAATTACATTGGCTTAGAATAGTATTTTATTTATTTATTTATTAGTTTTTGTTGGATATAACATCTTTATTTTATTTTTATGTGGTACTGAGGATCGAACCCAGTGAGTGCCCCGCACATGCCAGGCAAGCGCACTACTGCTTGAGCCCTAGAATAGTACTTTAAAATACTAAATATTCAAGTCCAGGATTCTATTAGTAGTAAGGAGAGAGGTGGATTAGATATCATTTCACATTATTCTGACAATAGTTTTGATAGTTTTTAAGTATTACCTCTATGCTAAAAAGGTAAACATAGTACTACTAAAAGGAGAGACATAAACCTTGGATGATTTCATTTAGCAAATACCTGCTGAGCCTCACCAGCACAGTAATGTTCTGGGTACTTTTTAGGTTTAGAGAACATAATAAGTGTAATCCCTGCCCCATGGAGCTCAAGCACTAGTGGTGTAGGATTCATCTATACAACTGTGGCATTCATTACTGACACTTTACTAAGATAAGGTCTCACTTTTAAGGTCTTTCAACTCTTGAGGACTGAAGATTTGCTCATAAATTGTTTCCAAAAAATTACTTAGAGCTTGCTAGGTCAGAGAGCAGGGGGTGAGATAGGAAACACATGGAATCATGCATCCAATTTATAGCCACAATGGATATCAGCTTTGCCACCACTCACCAGGTTGTCCCTGAAGGTCAGGGTGATCCTTCTGGAATTCCTCTTTTTTTTTGTCCAATTCTTGTTGAAAGTGCTCAAATTCCTCCTGATACTTTTCTTTTTCTTTTTCTGAAATTTCTTTATCTGGTGTAGGCTTTATTGGAGTTTAAGAATAAATCATAAAAAAGATAAGAGAACCCGTGAGACATTTCAATATATGTTCTTTTTCTTAAGTTCACTATTCTACCACCAGCTGAAAGGTTAACATAAAATGGTTATTCCTTTTTATAGAAAAAAAACTTTACTCTTGCTACTAATATTAACAACAAAAATAACAATAACCACTACTACTTGCTCTAAGTATACTGTCTCTTTTAATCCTTACATCATGAAATGGCCAGGACAAACATCTGTTCTACCAATAAAAATATTATATACTAGGGAGGTTAAGTAACTTGTACATGACCATACAGCAGGAAGGTCAGTCTTCCCAAGTTTTCAGCCATGAGGCATAACCATTGAAAATTGAAAATACACTTTAAAAAACAAATATATGTACTCACTGGCTCCTTTCCAGGCTCAGTCAATTGGAAAGTCAGAAAAGAAAGAACATCATGGTCATCTACAAATTAAAAAAAAAAAATTCCATAATATATTATTTTTATAGCTGTGAATTTATATTTATTGCTTTTAAAATAATGATAAATAAGCTGTAATTTGATAAAGGCAATGGTTCTCTGTGACCTTAAGGGCAAAAATTCATCTGAAAGATTTATATTAAAAGTAATCCAAATTCACTTTCTTAAACCCTAAATCACAACATTTTAACAACTTTAACATATAACAGATGCTTAACAAATGTCTAATAAGGAATAAACAATAAACAAATAGACAAAATCCTGTTAGTATATTTCCTATACCTAACTGTCTCTGAGTCTATTTCATCACATGTATTGGTTATTGCCTTTCATATTTATTTTACTCACATGGAAGCCACAAATAACTTAATGTTTTATCTAAAATCACATAAAATCAAATTAATGTCAAGGTGTTTAAGCTGAAAGCAGAGACTCAGCAGGTTGTCCTGGTTAGTTACATCCACAGAGTAGAACAATTATCTACAGTGTGCATCAGTCTTCATGCTTTCTACTACTCACGGAAGTCGAGAGATGCAGGCACATTCAATCCAGAAAACTGTGATTCTTCACAGTACACTGAGAAACTTGAACAGAAATCATGTGGTCTAAAAGGACAGGGATCAGACCTTCTTGGGCTAACCATTATAGGCCATATGATCTTCAGAACCTTTCACATAAAATTTGACAAATTCATCTAAAAATAGGAAAAATGTGGTCTCTCTTTCCGCCCTCCCTGGGTTGCAGAGAACGATCCATACATTTGAAAAGTATTTAAAACTACAATGTGCCATATAAACACAAAATTGGGTTAATGTGGAGTAACTTCATTTATTACCACACAAGGGAAAAAATGATCACTGAATCTTGGTATAAAGTTTGGTCCCCAAATAAAGTTTCCTCAGATTGCCAAACTCACTTATATATGATGTGACAACACTTAGGGTCCTAAAACATATGACAATTAACCTTTTATAGATTCAAATTTAAATATGTTTCCTTTGCTGTAAAACAGTACCCAAACTAATGCTGTAAGTTGGATACTTGTATGCATCCCTAGCCAACTGTATACTTATAAAACAATGAGAGCTGTCCCAACAGAGCCAAAGACGCACAGTAGACTATGGGAAGGCTTTAAATAGTCTTAAAAGGTTACATGCAAACAAGTTTACATATCTCCAACATATATTATTATGTATAAAACTCAATTCACTAACTTTCAATATTAAAAAGATAGCATGTTTTACCTGCAAGACCTCCCGTTGCAGCAGATATTCCAAAATACCCTTGTGGAGGGATCACCATATTTTCTACTTTGGCGCAAAATTCATAATCATTTCTATTTGGTGTAAAGCCATTATTGATCATTACCTAGAAAGACATACTACAGCTATAGCTTTTACAATGGACAGTGTAAAATGATCTACAGTTAGTCAATTTGTTCAACTTTGCTTCCTTCAAGGCCCTGGGTTCAATCCACAACATCATAAATAAATAAACAAACAAACAAACAAATAAATTAATTAAAAACAAATAAAAATTTGCTTCCTTTCACTATTATAAAGGGTAATTTTAAATAACCTCACTTACTTAATATTATCATACAATAAGATATTCCATTTGTTTTTTACCCACTGTGTCAAATGTTTAAAATGTGAAAATTTTGATAATTTTTCATTCAAATTTTCTAAAATGAAATATGACTCACTTGCTCTTTAAAAAATTATTCTCTTTGTATGGTTTATTCAGAAGAGAGATCATATTTGTTCTGAAACCCCAGTGACAGAGCTAAAACCGAATAGGTTAAGTGTGCAAGTTTAACTACACCTCATAGAGAATTAAATAGATTGCTTCAACAAGTAGTGAGCTCTTCTTTATTATGTAAATGAAGTAATTGGGCTGTTATAGGTTAGCAGAAACAGCAAAAGTAACAGAAGTCTCTAAAAGGACATCCAAGTTTCTTCTCAGTAGGATGTATATTTGAAGTAACGACCCTAAATTTCTTAAGAGAATCTTGGAATTCTCAGAAAGTATAGGGATCCAGTAGACACATGAACACTCTTCCCATCAACCCAGTCAAGTTGTGGTTTCACCTCTTCATTCCTAACAACCCCATCACTAGCCCTACCCCAAAAGATAGCCACTGAAATTGGAGTGGCCACAAAAGGAGTAGGTCCATGGCATGGACCAAGGGCACCTGTATCACTACTTCTAGGGTCAAAGTTTTGTCACAGACAATTAAGGTTAAATCACACAAGTGAAATGTTATAGAACTCTGTCCAAAAAAGAATAAAATATCCATCTATGGAAAAGGTTATTCTCCATGTAATGTAATATAAAAATATGTGGACTAAAAACTAGTTAAAATTAATTTTAAAGAACACTGGCCATATAGTTAACTAATATTAATATTTGTTTCTTTTTATTGGAAATAATCCTGTTTCAGTTTATATCATTTGCAACTTGTCTTTATTGTCTTGTTCTTAATTTTTTTAAAAATGTATAACATATTCATTGTACTATGAGTTAGGAGGACATCAGGACTGGGATTGTAAAGCCCACGTACTATGTGTTCATAATTAATGTCAGAACATCCACTTCATGCTTGCAATATCTTTTTCTTTTCCCTCCAATGTCAAAACAACTGGGACAAGCTGAGATGCAAATACTAACTTAAACATTTCTCGAGTACCTAACATGGGCACAATATTAATGATTTTGAGAATCATAGGATAAAATACCTGCCTGTGGCTATAACCATATTGGTAAGAAAAGATATAACATAGAGTTAACTAGCAATTCAAGACAGCACATTTCATCAAAGACCAAAAAAAGCACTAAAAATAAAATAAAATAAAATAAAATAAAACTTTAAGAGTTTAGGGGAAATATATCATTATAAGCTGATGTTTGGGAAATCTGTGGAAAAGGGATCTGAGGCAGTATGTTCAAAGCTGAGTATGGTCAGTCAAGTACAGAGAAAAGGAGAGAACATCACTGGAAGGAACAACAGGCTGAGCAAACACTCACAGGCTAGACCCAATAAGCTGCATTAGGAGTCTAGCATGTCCAGCTTGTTCTGCAGCATGTAACTTCAAACACCAGCCTACAGTTATCTGTAGAAATTAGGCAACAAAAGAATTCCAGGGCCAAATAAGTCCGCAGAATGTGAGGCTTATTAAAGGTTTATTTATTTATCCTTTCTTTATGAAGGAATTTTAAATATGCTAATACATATAGCAAAACCCAATCTCATCTTACTAGGAAATTTTGGGGGGAAGTAGTACACTCTGCAGGAACTGCTGGTGGGGTGGGCCCCTCATTGTATAGATTGTGTAGAATCATGCAGGCAGCCTCTCTGAGATCTTAAGTGAGCATCTACTCACCATGTGAATATCTGCTGTCTGAGCTTTATCCATATGAAGGTAAGTGTGACTTAGTGATGACCCTAATAAAACTGTACAGGATGAATAGTAATTATAGTAAAACCTATGTCCAGCCTAACACCCTGGACATATCCTCTATAATGAGATCTCTAACAGCTTGGAATTTAAGATCAAGCCAATATAGTTTTCCAAAGGGCTGGGAGTGTGGTTCAATGGCAGAGCACTTGTCTAGCATCCATGAAACCCTAGGTTCAAATCCACATACCTGTAATTTCTTTTTCTCTAAAGAGCTAATTTTCAGTGTTTCATAAATAGGAGTTTAAGGCTAGCTCATGATTTAGGAAAAGAAAAAGTTCACAAAAGATACGATAACATCTTTAAAAAGCAAAGTTTACAATGCATTGATGATCTTAGTTATTAGAACTGCCCGTTGGATATAGCCATCTATGTTTTATGCTAAATTCAATTTATCTATAATTAAACCATGTACCAACCCTCTCATTTCCATTTTTCCCCAAACACAAACAAAGATAACTGCTACTTTGCTAGGAAATGGTACCAATTAGTTGTCTAATGGGCAGACATTCAGGAACTATCTTTCACTCTACAACTCTATTTGTACCTCAACCCATGGCAAACTGAACTAAGTTAGTCCTACAGTCTCCACCTGCTCCTCATCTCTCCTCTGCCTTCCCTTTGGCACCACCTTAGTGGAGACCACAAGTGGAGTCTTGCATTTAAGATGGAGCTGGGTTTACATCAGAGTTCTCCGAGTTATTCAGTATGATAATATTGAAATTATTCAAAATCTCCTATATTCAATTTCATTTAAGATGGAGATGCATATGCCACAGGGCTATTTAAAAAACTGCACATAAAGTACAAAGCACAGGCCTGGAACTTTTCAGAGTCAAGTAGTCAAAATTGGCTTATCCTTTAAGAACACTAGGACCTAAGTCATCTTTCAAAATTGTAAATCTGATCATTTCACTTTCTGCTTAAAACTGAACTTTCTTAAAAGTTCTTTACAGGATAAACTACAGGACACCCTGTGCAAGGTGTATAACTGCCAAACTTTCAAACTTGCTTCCCCCAGGTGTCCTCTATAAGTCAAAGCAAACTCTGTCTCAAATATTTCAATTTCTCTCAAGGCCCTATGACTGCTTTCTGTGCCTAGAAGACACACACACCCTACCCCAAACTTCCTGCTCCTGCTTTAAAATGTAGCTTAACTCTGAGAAGCTATTTTTTACCTTCCCCACTCCCACATCAGAGTTACAGAATTTCACTCCTACAATTCCTCAATGTGCTTGTAGTCTTTGTTACATAGCATGCTAATGCTACATGTGTCTCCAGAATTAGACTATAAGCTTTCTGGGGAGAATGACCTTTGTCTTACTCCTACTTCCCAAAGACTAGCATATATACATATAACATGTCACATAGAGCATGGTGCTCAAATGCCTCCTGACCAAATGGAAACCTGCTGGCAAGTTCTTAAATAGATGCCTACATATACCAAGCTCTGAAGCCATGTCTGTTCTCTTAGAGTAACACTGATCAGCACATAAACAATATCCACATTTAAGTCCATTTAATTTCAATCAAATCAAAAAGAATTCAAGAAGAAAAGTCATACTAGAATATTATTCATTTGATTACTACGACTTACTGTCAGAGTTTTCTGGTAATATACAATCTTCGCCCGAACAGGATAGGGTTTATTGCGAAAGTCCCTCAGACAACTTGCTAGGGCTTGCGTGGCACCATCACTAGAGTGTAAGAGAAAGGAAAAAAAGAAACTTAGAAAGCTTTTCAATATTTAAAAATTCAGGAAGATTAAAATAATAACAAGTTATGATAAAATCTTAGGATACTTATTTCAACTTTTTATTTATTTAGAGGATATAAAGGTGGCACAAATTTTTTCCTGCCAGAACTTTGAGTGACATGAGAATCAATGTTATTATGTGCTGACAGCAAGGAGAGATATACCATTCTGTATGAGGCTAGGACAGAGGACCTCTACCATAGGGCAGAATCCAAATTCCTTATAGAGCTTTTAAAAATGCAGATCCATAGACTCCACCAGAAATGAACTAAAGTAGAATAGAAAGGAGAATGCCCAGGTACCTCTACTTTAGATAGCTCCAGAGAGAGCGGTGATGAACTACCAGGGTTGAAAATAACTAAGGCAGGAAATAGCAAACTACAGCAAGGATAAGTAATGTTTCTTGCAGTTCACTGACTAACTAAGAGGTAATTCCTATATAACAAATATGTGAAAATAAAAAATGTACATTCCTAGTTCACATACATTATAAATACACTGAACACTCAGATCCTTTGTAACCCACAATATTTAGAATGAATAAAGTGGTATAAATTGTGTATTCATTAGTTTGGTCAAGGCTCAACTTTAGTTTTAAAATTAATAAAGCTGAAAAAGTAAGACTAGTGAAAGCCAGGAAGATCCTATAAACCTTCAAAAATATTGTATAATATAATTTTAGGTTAAATAAATATATATTTTAAGTTTAACATATGATGTGATTCATAGAAACAATTTTAACCCATGTGGTTTCATTGTTCCAGATGTGGAACACCTATAAGCACATAAATATTATATAATCATATTATATGCAATATAATTATATAATAATTATAACTATATTATATAATTATAATAATTTCAATTATATAATGTATATAAACTCTAGATTTATATAATTTATATAATGTATATAAACTCTATGATTCCAACCTATTTTAATGTACCTATGTCAATTTCATTAAGATATTCAGATGTGAAAACTTGGGACTAATGGGTTGGGACACAGTCAAATTAAAATAAGATCCATTCACTAAGTTACAAAATGACATTGTAAGAAAAAGAATAATCTTAATTGCAAAGTATTCAGGATATGAAACAATATTTTTCATGCAATTTCTGAAGAGAAGCTAAAATGAGAAACATTGTAAGATCATATACTTACTTTTGATGGTCATAATGGATTTGTCCATTGTTGCCTACAATAACTATAGCAGGATTATTTTTCTAAAAATAAAGAGAATGCATTTGTTTTAAAGGCCTTAATAAAAAAATTCTAGATCATTCTTATACTATGAAGTCTCTTATATCTCTAAAATTCTAGAACTCAAAATTTTAAAATAATATGGCCTTTGCATTCAAGGAATTATTAAGGTTCTTTGAATTGCTAATAGGGATCACTGAAAGTCATGGAAGAAAAAAACCAGCTAAAGGGAATGTCATTAATCTTAAGGCTACTGCTAAACCACAGTTAATGTTTACAATATGTAAGTACATTTTGTTCTTAACTGTTTTAGGAGAGATCTGGTCTGATCAAAAAGAGAGATTGACATGAAAAGATGTTACATGAGCTAGCAATAAGTCATGCACATGAACACTGTGATGAGAGCAAACTTTCAAAAGTCTTCTAAACACAACTGTTTTCCCTGCCTACATTTAATGTTTCAGGTTTATCCAGCAATATTATTAAGCACATTACAGGGGTGGTGGGGAAGGCAGTCACTGCAAAGTTCTAAGGCTCCATTATGACCTCCATCTGGTTTATGAAAAATTGTATCTGGATAGCTCAGTTGCTAAATTCTCAGTTGCTAAATTAAAACTAATTACCATATTTAAAATATCACCTGCCAAGTTTGCCACAATTAAACTCATGAGTCTCAAATAAGGTATATTTCTCATAATCTAACTTTGCTAGCAGATATAACAAAGTCTGTAACTGCTTTTAAAATAAATATACCTTTCCATCATTGTCAAAAGAATCAAAAAATATTCCAACGCCATTCCACATATCAGCTGATCCAAACACAGGGCCCTCCAAGCCTTGATTTTCTGTATACCAAACTGCCTGAAAATACATAATAGGGAACCATTAGGTCAGTGGTGTGTACATTTATATTAATTTTCTAAGTAACAGAAATGATCTTACTAGGCCATCGGCTCCAATTCGACCTCTTCCAGTCACTCGAAATGTCACCTCCAATTCCCAGTTCTCAAAGGCTGCTTTTGTCTTTGTCCACACTGACCCTCTTTGGCTTTTTAAAGATGGTGCTATTCGAATTTGATCTGAACTTGCAATAGCATCTATAGCAGAAACAAGGAAAGAAAAGCTTTAAATTATAATTAGATAAAATTCAACACATCATCACCAAACTACTACATATTTAAAAAACTAATTTTAACTTAGTAAGCTGAACAATAATTTTATTAAGAAATAATTTCATATTAACAGTTTCAACTTTGAAACTTTAGGCCTAATGCCTCTTTTATCTTTGGAACACTGAAGTATCTCTGTAAAAGTAAAATAAAATAAAATAAACCTATAACAACACATTTAATATTCCACGACAAGAGGAAGGAAATTATGACTTAAAAGGCAAACTACCTATTTGATTCTCATAATATTTTTTAAATACCTCAAAAATCTGCAAATATTTTTTTAAAAAACTGTGCAACATATTTATTTATTGGTTTACAAATGTTAAAAAGTCTTAAACATTTTGAAAAGAACATACCACTAGGAATCAAAAGACTTGTTCCTAGTCTCAGTACAGCTGGGACTTTGAACAAATAAATTCTCTTACTCTCTTGGGTTCACCATATGTTCACCTGTAAAATGAAGGGGCTGAGCTTGATCACTTCCACAAACATTCCAAAAGTTATATGCAAAATATTCTGCATATATGCATTTTTCAAGGAAGAAAGTCAACTAAATTTCAATTCAGTAAGCCATTCTTCAGCTTTGGCAGATTCTGAGAGAAAATGGTGATCCCCAAAGTAGTAGTTTGCACTTCCAATCTGAGCTGAAGTGCTAGCTCCGCCACTAACTAGCAGGTTAATCTTAGGTAAGTTATTTCATCTCTCTTAACAACCTCAGAGGCATATAAGGGGTTATAAAAGTGCACATACAGGCATACCTTGGAAATACTGCCGATTTGGTTCCAAACCACTGCAATAAAGCAGTTTTTACACATTTTTTTTTTTGGTTCCCAGTGTCAATATAAAAGTTATATTGACAGTACACTCTAGTCTATTAGATGTATGAGAGCATAATATCTAAAAAAATACATACCTTAATTAAAAAGTAACATTATTAAAAAAGCTAATGATCATCTAAGCTGTTTTAAAAAAATGGAGCCAACAGACTTGCTGGAAATAGGACTGTCACATATCTTTGTTTTGTAAAAAAAAACAATCTATGCAAAATGCAATGAGGTATGCTTATACGTATTTCAATCCTCCCATTCTTGAATTAGATAATTATTAAAGCATGATTAGGCCTAAAATTTGAAAAGTTCTGCATAACCTTTCAGATATTAAACTATTATTTATGCTGGGAAATAAAACTATAATATCACTTTATAGGCAGGAAAAACTGAAAAAAAAAAGTAAAGTTGAAATGCTTCAGTATGATCACTCACTTTTGTCATTATCATTTTCAAACACTGAATGGTTGAGAGGAAGGCACCAGAAAGAGTACTGGACAGATAATCAGAACACCAAGATTTGAGTTCAATTCTAGAGAAACCAGCTATGTAACCTCTTCCAAGAAACTTTACCTTTCTGAACATCAATTTTTCCATATGTAAAACAGATAACACCTGTCTTATCTACTAAGGAGCAAATTGGAAAAATGAAGGTGAAGAGAGATTTGAGAGCTATAGTTACAAAGTATCATTTTTTTTTTGCCCTTATGGACCCATGTGTACCAGCAGTACAAAAGGACATTAGAACTAAGAAAGACAAACATGATAGATTTTATCTTAATTTAGGGCTAAACACTAAGGGCTTTGTTTAAATTAGATCCTAAAATCTCTCTACTTTTTGTCTTACATAATGGATTGCAGGGCCAAATGAAAATGGGGGGGGGGAATGAACAATGGCAGAAAGAGAACAGTAAGACTATAAAAATTAGAGTAGTGATGCAAGCAAGGGACATTCATAGCAGTAACTCCCAGAGTCAGTACACAGATTAAGTCACGGTTAAAATACTAATCTCTTTATTTCAAATATAGTCTAGACAAACAATTTAAATGCATTAAGGTACATTATCCTGAATTTTTGCATCACACAAGATTAATAGGTTATGGCTCTATAAAGAAAGTCAAAGTAACTTTGGTAGTTGATTAACATTCCTAATTTGTGGATATGGGAGAGAGAGAGAAAAGTAGGCAGATAATGGAGAGGTGCAAAAGTGAAAAAGTATGAACAAATCCATTACTACTGAAAAATTAATCATCATTCCTATCCTCCCTAAAACACTGAAAGCAAAAGATCCAAAACCTTGTGTTTAGTATAATCTGCATCATCTTTGTGTATCAACAATGATGTTATCTTGATAACAATTGCCCACCATTATCCTTTTGCCCAGTGGGCTCATAATATATAACTGCTGAGTTAACAACATAATTGCACTCGGATTCAAACACTTGATGACTTGGTAATTAAATCAAATTGAAATTTATACCATATAATTACATATTAATTTGCAGGTAATGGCCCTTCCCAAAAGAGTGCTTTCTATTTAGTACTTACTTTCTAGAAATGAAACATTTTATTTCAAGCACTGGATAATCTAGAAGGATGTATACAAGCCTTATATAAATGATTGCTTAATCTCACATACAGATGGAATTCAAACTGCCAGAGTTCTCATGTCATCAAAAGGCATTGGCCACTTGTTTTAAAGGGTGTATCTGATGGTCACTGAACAGAGGTTATGACATGCCAAGTGGTAGGACTGATTCCTTAGTCAGCAGTGACACATCAGCACTAGAACCTGCAGATATGCTCTAACAAGACTCTCTTATCGATAAGAGAGCCAAAACATGGTGAATAAAACTTGAAGCAGAACTTCTATTTTTTTTTCCTTAAAAGGAGAAGATATAATGCTATTCTTAGCCAGGTTCAGAAATAATCAATACAAAAAAATCTTCTACTACATAATAAAGCATAAGTGTGACTATAAAGTTACATAATGCAAAGATCAAAGACCACACCAAAGTCAGTAAGAGAGGCAAAGGTGTAGGTCTAACAGCTTAATAACGTCTTCTGACGTGCAAAAACTTAAAAATTACTTTAAAATCAATCTTTGTATTCTCTGGAGTCTTCAAATGGCATTGAGTACAAACCTGAGCATTAACCATTGCTAACAACACTGGAGAAAAGTAAGCAGGAGAAAGGAGGCTGATGAAACAGGTCTCAGGTTGGGATGGCTGTGGGTGGGGAACGTGTCCCCCAGAGATGTGGCATCAGGGTGAAACGTGACACCCAAAAGTGAGTTTGAGGGCTGGGATGTGGAAGGAAGTAACAAAACACTTCTAGACCAAACGGATAGTACCGAGGAGATCAAAGAAGTCATGAGGTGGATGACAGTGGACAGAATGCTGAGAAGGCTCTCGGAGGCTGGCGGGGGAACTTGCAGGCCAGAGGAACCTGGGGTTGCAGAGAGGTTCCCCACCACAGCGCATACGGTGTGCAACAGCTGGAAAGGGACCCTCACCACACCAGGGTATCCGCGCAGAGAAGGCGAAAGGAGGAGGCGGAAGGCGGAGAGGGGACCCGGGCCTCCCGCCCCCTTCCCGGGCTTACTCCCCGCGTGGGCCCAGAAGGGCACGGTCCCATCGCTCTGCACCAGGTGCGGCCCCTTGAAGCTGTATTTGTACTCGAAACGGCGATGTGGCATCACAGCCGGCGTGTCCGCAGCACCGGCGGCCGCGGGGTCGCCTCCCATGCCGTCGCCCCGGACGAAGCGACTGAGTGACAGCAGCAGGGCGCAGAGAAGCGGCAAGGCTCTGGCCTGGGGACCCCTTAGCCTGGATCCCGCCATCTTGGATTCTGGGACGCAGAGGCCGGCGGGAGAGGGAGGGGCGCTCGCTGATTGGCGGAGCCTGGGAGACCCGTAGGGCAAAGGGTGAGCTCCGCCCCCGGCCACCCCTATCCACAAGGCCTCCCGGCCCGGAGCATCAGTGGGCGGGGATGAGGGGGCGGGGCCTGTGAGGGGGCGGGGCCTGGAGGCAGCAAGGTCCGCGAGCTCTGCGCCGCCGGGAGACTAATTTTCCCTGCCAGCCACGTCGGATGCGGGCGGAGCTGAAGGATGCCTGCCTGCAGGAGGCTTTCTCCCGCTGCTTAGATTATCTCAGGGCGGCCTCAGCCTATGACAAACCGGTATTGGAAGAAAGGTTCGTTTTTGATGCGACACGATTATTCAGTGGCTGGATTCCATTTTGTGAACTTCCCAGAGACGAGTCGTACTTGAAAGGCTACTAATGGTCATGAATACTAATGGTTCCAGACTCTGAGAACAGTTCAAAAGAGCCCTAGGATCTTTTCGTTGGTTGAATCGAGGGATTTCTATGAATCTGTCAATCAGCCTTCGCTTCGCAAAGATTAATTCCAAGGGCTTCCCAATTTTTGAAACCGTGGCAACAGTGCATTCAAGTGATACTGAGTTTTGTTCAGTTTTGGAGAGAGTGATTATGTGCGGTGAACAGAAGCATCAGTAGAACCTGGACATTAGAGATTGGATTGGTGTTTGACTCAACGAATAAATTGTGCATTTTTTTTTAAAGTTGTAGATGAACACATCGTATCTTTATTTATTTTTATGTGGTGCTGAGATCGAACCCAGTGCCTCTGAGGCAAGCGCTTTACCACTGAGCTATAACCCCAGCCCTAAATTGTGCATTTTAAAGGAGAATCTTCCTTCCAGGGTGGCAGAGAGGGTTGGGGAATACCTGTATTGTCAAAATATTCATGGTCACCAGGAGTTGTTTTTGCTTGAGCACGAATTTTTTAAAATCTGAGAAAGAGCAGTATTTTGTGTGTCCTTTATACACATAGCTCTTTATTTCATTAGCTCTCCTTTATGGGCTATGAACACAACACAAACTCCAGGAACCACAAGCCCACATTATTTTAATTTCGTTTTCACTGACCTCTACATCTCCAGACTTATGGCCCATTAGTATTAAATCTCTTTCTAGTGCTCAAATAAAGTCTTCACACTGAATATGGGCTTAAAATTTCTCCACCTGCCCATCTCTAGATGTAAATGGAAGTAGGATCCAGCAGCAGCAACACACAAATATCAGCTATATAGATGTGTGGTTATTACCCTTGATTCCCCAGGGCTTTAAATCATTAGGGTTTAAACTTTTCATCATTTTCAGTTCTCTCATTGCTTCGGAAACTAACTCTATGCCTTGCAGAGTAATCCCTAAATATTTGTTAAGCAAACATTAAGGCTAACAAAAATAACAAACACTTACTGAGTGCTTATAGTTCCAGAAACTGCATTAAGCCTTGTACATTTATTCACTAACTAAATGCTCATAGCAGCCAAGATAGGTGCCATTAATATTCCCCTTTTACAGATGAGGAAGCAGAGGCACAGGAAAACTAAATAATTTGCCTAATGTCACAGTTAAGTGGTTGAGATGGATCTCAAATTCAGGTAGTTCGTTACTAATGCCTACAATCTGAAGAATCATTCTGTTAGGCAATAAGTACGATGAATATTTTCAATTTGTTACTCATGATTTCAACACATAGGAGACCTGAATATTAAATACAAGTTATAATTTGTAATTTTACTGAACCATAAATATAAAATATTATATTCTATGAAGGTTTTTCCTTTAAATTTTTTTATTAATGAATATTATACAGCAAAGTGCTCAAGCCTCAGGAATATTGCCCAAATAATTTTTCACAAAGTGAACACATCCCATGAAACTAGAATTCAGATTAAAAAAAAAAGAACATTTCTATTGGATATATATCTAGGAGCAGAGTCACTGTATAGTAGATTACTATATAGTAGACATTGTATAGTAAATACTGCCATATTTACTACTACATAGTTTTTTATATATATGTGTATATATATATATACCCAGACATGTAAGTATATTTATAATATCTATGCATAAATCAATATATCAAAATACTTGATACATATGCATATTTTTCTCCACTTTATGGGATGTCTTAACTCACTTTATGTGTGTTTTGATGAATAGAAGTTTATCATTTTTTATATAGTTGAATTTATCATTTTCCCCTTTATTGTTAGGGCTTTTTGTATTCTATTTGGAAATCTTTGCCTATTCCAAGGTCATGACTTTCCCTTGAAAGTCTTATTATTTTGCCTTTCACATTTAACTCAGCAATCTGTATAAAATGATTTTCTATATTGAATGAAGAAGACACAAAGATACACAGTTTTCTATATGGATAGTTAGTTGACCCAGAACCGTTTACTAACAATATCATTCTTTCCTCATTGAGGTTCAGTGAGGTTTCTGCCATAAATCAGATAACAGACATGAGTGGGTCTATTTCTGGACTCTGTGCAGTTTCATGGGTCAGTTTGTTTATTCTTGTGCCAATGGCTGTCTTAAGGGTAAAGTGTTATAAAAGGCAGTGATATCTGGTAGCATAAAACCTGTTTACACTGGTTTAAAATTGCAGAGGCTGTTCTGGTGTCTTTCATTTCCAAATGTGTTCTGTATCAGTTAATCAGTTTGCCAGGGGAACACTGCTGCAATCAAGATTGGGATTGGATTCTGCTGTCATATATACCTAATTAGAATAAATAAATAAATTAATTAATTAATTTTTAAAAAGATTGGAATTAGATTAAATCTATAGGTCAGCTAAATAAAATTTGAAATCTTTATAAGATTGGGTGCTCCTGGGGCTGGGATTATAGCTCAGTGGTACAGCACTTACCTAGTATAAATAGTGTGCATGAGGCACTGGGTTTGATCCTCAGTACCACATAAAAATAAAATAAAGATATTGTGTCCACCTACAACTAAAAATATATATAATTATAAAAAAAGATTGTGTGCTCCTGATCCAGGAATATGATAGATTCTTTCATTTACTTATTCCTCAAAAATATTCAGTAATGTTTTATAGTTTTCTATTTAGAGGTCTTGAATGCAATTCATCAGATTTGTTCACAGATATTTGGTGTTTCTTTACACTAATGTTAATGATGTTTTTGGGTTTTGTTTTTGTTGCTGGAATATTAATATGCAGTTGATTCTTGAATGTTGATATTGTATCCAACAATTTTGCCTGTCCATAGAACTTTTAAGATTATCTACATACATGATCTCATGTTTTCCACAAATATGACAGTGTAATATTTTTTGATTTTTATGCTTTCCATATTTTTGGGTGGGTGGGTGGGTACTGGGGATTCAACTCAGGGGCACTTGACCACTGAGCCACATTCCCAGCCCTATTTTGTAATTATTTAGAGTCAAGGCCTCACTGAGTTGCTTAGCACCTCAATTTTGTTGAGGCTGGCTTTGAACTTATGATCCTTCTGCCTCGGCTTCTCAAGCCTCTGGGATGACAGGCATATGCCATGGTACCGGGCTCTTTTCCATAGTTTTATTTTTTTCTCTATGCTTTTATTTCTCTTTAGTCTACTGACAAAGGCCCCCAGTATAACGTTGAGTAAAAGTTATAGAAATCAGCATCATTGTCTCATTTCTAATTTCCTGAGTGAACCATGGAGTAGGATGTTTCTGCAGGTTTTTGAAGATTTTTAAATGATCAGATTAGGGGTTTTCCATTTGGCTTCTAGTTTGCTAAGCCTGAAAAACATGAATATGCATAAAATTTTATTAAATGGTGTCTCTGTTTCTATTGAGTAATTGTTATAGCTTGGATCTGGAATGTCCCCCACAGGCTCATGTGTTAAAGATTTTGTCCCCAAGGCAGCAGTGTTCAGAGGTGGGGATTTGGGGAAGGAATTGCATCATGAGGACTCCTCCCTCTGGTCTCTTGGATTCATAGTTTGAATGGACTGTTGGGAGGTTGTGGAAACTGTAAAGGGTGGGACTTAGTAGACTATATTTTCTTCTTCTCTCTCTGCTTTCTGGCTGCCATAAGATGTCATACCTCTCCGCCATGATGTTCTTCCAAATCTCAGACTCAAAAGAATGGAGCCAACCTACTATGAACTGAAACCTCTGAAACTATGAACCAAAATAAATCTTTCCTCCTCTAATTTGATTTTCTCAGGTACTTGTCACATGATAGAAAGCCAACCAACACAATGATCTCCTTATCTTTCTTTTTTTTTCCTAATTAGCAATATTTTCATATTTTTAAATATTAAATTCAACATCACATTATGAATAAGCTCCAGTTGGTTGAAATGTATTATCCTTTTATTTTTATAGATCTCTGGATTTTTCTTAAGCTTTTACCCTATAGATTTTCTTGAGAGAGAATATGTTGTAATTTTCCCTCCTTACAGAGTTCTCATAAGGTTTTAGAATCAAAATTATAGTTGCATAATAAAATTATTTCCAATAACCTCCACTTCAATTTGACAGTCTTTTGAGGGCAAATCACTTTGTAAGTGTAGCTAACTGTCCAGTATACGTGTTAATATTCCTTCTTGATCTTATCAAAATCTCCTTACTCATAAAGGTGATTTATATGTGGAGAAATTCCAAAATGTGGTGATTGGAGAAACTTTCAGCCTTCATCCTAGATAAATGTCAAAACTTTGATACTACTAAAAACTATAGAACGGGAAAATTTAAAAAATCGAGTTTGATAAGTTTTCTTTCCTTGGGGCAGGGAGGGATTGTACCTTGAAGGGAAGTTTTTAGAAGGGTGGACCAGGCTTCCTCAGCACTGGTACTCTCCTGAAGTTGGTGGCAGGCAAGCAGTTTCTATACAGGGAACAATGAGAAGGCCGATTTGATTGTAGCCCACAATTCATGCAAGGGGGAAGTAGGAGACAATATGGACAGGTGGAAGGGGTCAGATTCCAGGAGGTCATGCATACTAATTTAAGGAGTTTGAATAGTGCCCTAAAACATGGGAAGAA